GAAAACCAATGCATTTGTGGTAAGGAGTGATGAGTAGAAACACCAAAAGTGTGAATAAACAATTAGGAACTAATAAATATGGTGGGAAGTGTGGTGAATCGCTGCACCAGTAAACGAGTCTTCAGAGATAGCATCCCCTGATGGAATTTGCATATACTATTTTTGACCAGGTTCTACAGGTCAAGCAAACACAAAAGTAAGAACTTATGTAAAATGACTGACTTTTAATATAGGCTGTGTTTACTCTACAAGCTAGGGATGTGATTACCCTGGTTGTGTGTATATACTTGTTCCAGCTCTCATTGAGCTAATGTGACTATAAATAAAAATGTAGCTGTGGTAGCAGAGGCCTGGCTGAATCTGGTTCCAGTCTGGCTTTTACTCAGCCACTACCTGTTGTGATGGGGTCAGGCCAGATGGCTACAAAAAAAGTAACAGCAAGTCTATTAGGAGTGATGGGAGGAAGACTCACTGCTGGAGAGCAGGAACTGTAGAGACACTGTCAGATACCTGGAAGGAACCCTACAGGTATAAAGGTGAGGAGAAGGGAGAGCCCTGCCCAAATAACATTCCCTTTTAGGCCCCAGAAATTGGAGGGTGATAAGTCCCTGGTAGCGTGGGAGGAGAGTGAGTTAAGAAATCTAGACTGTTGTCTCCACATCCAAAAAGGCTACCACAGATTAAGGGATTTTTTTTTCCCTTTTCCTCCCCGCTATGTCAATGATGAGAGTAGCTAAATTGGATTACATCTTGCCCCTGAAGTAAAAGGTTTAGACTCAGAGCTGAGAGCCACTGAGGTGAGCAGCTAGACCAGGAGTTGCTGTTTTCCTCAGATGGAGAAAGATAATTCTCAGTCTAGTGCTTACCAGAAGCGCAGGATCAAGTGTGAAATTAGGAGCTTCATCATACTGTGGTATTGTGGCCACACTGCTATTGATTATCAAGCTAGTGTGCATATGTGTGTGTGTAAGCAGGGAAATCGTACTCCTTGCTTGTAGTTCACACACAGCTATAGAAGAAGGGTCAGTTTTATGTTGAAATGATACTGCGACCAAGAGAGTTTTGAAGGGCTTTGAAATTTACCAGGGTCTCCATTCATAACATGGTGACACCTGTAAGACAGGTGTGCATGTAAGCTATTTGTTGTCTGTCAAGATACATTTTCTTTGTGATGCTTTCCTTCTGAATAAATACTTTGGTTTATAAAGGTTGGCTGGTCCCTGGTTAACCCTGTCATTGCTCCCATAGAGAACAGGATGACAGTGCTGAATAGAGATGTAAGCAACTAGTCAACTATCCCATTAGCTTTTGCTGGACTAGTCTCTGCCCACCTCCCATCAGAGGCAGCAAGGTGGGAGCTGGAGCTGGTAAAAGATGGTTTCCCCCCATATCCCACCCAGCACCATCTCTGTGGAAGTCAGGGTGGTAATGGGGACTGGGCACGAGCTGAGAATCGGCAGTTAATCCATTTAAAAGGCAGAGCTGCAGTGGGGTTAGCTCCCGGGCCGGGAGCTAACCCCACTGTGGCTCCCCGCTTATTGACTGATCGACTAGTTGATGAAAAATCTCTAGTGCTGAAGTAAACTCAGTAAAATTTAATATCCTGAGTACTAAAGTAAACTGAGACTTGCTAAAGTGATCAAAGTGAGCTGCAGGAGAAGGATTTAGGAGACCATAAATTCCTAATTTGGAGGGAGAGAAAGATGATGGCTAGAGGCATGACAGAAGTACCTTCAAGGAGACCACATGAGACCATTTCTCATCATAAATATTTGCCACAATTGTGTATGATTAACAAATTACTCATTGAAATGTTTTCCATGGAATCTGTTCCTGGCATCTGTCCCAGTTAAGAAGCATGCCAACATTGTGTGTGTGTGTGTGTGTGTGTGTGTGTGTGTGTGTGTGTGTGTGTGTGTGTGTTTTGATTTGGTTTTTTTGGTTTTTTTAAGAACAACCTTGTTCTACAAGCTTACTATCCCATTGATAAATGACTTGTAGAAAAGAAAAACATGTTTTTAGAGACTGCCCCATTAGCATGAAATTAAGTAAAAGAATGCTGTTTCTCTTGTGCTTTATATTGTATTTTTAAAATCAGTGTTAATCCTGAATTTCCAAAGAACTCCGTAAAACAAACCAGTGACTTTTGTGACTTGCAGAAACTACCTAAATGAGTTTGCTTGCAATTTTTAACATGTCAGTGAACCATATTATCAGTCCATTAAATCGACACTGCTGAAATTGAATTACACTGTTTGAAACCATTAGACTTGATTGTCCTCTCTTAGCAGGTTAACTCATAAGTGATTTTTCTCAGACTTAATGATTACACAGACAGTACTATTTATAAGTCTAATTGAAGCATTAATATCCTGCACTTCAGTAACTCCTTCTTATTGATTTTTGCCAAACCATATTTTGATTTTTCAGAAAAACATTTGACTTTTATAACATTTTAAAAGAGATAACATATTTATTCTGTTTGTTTCATTGTTAAATCTTTTGTTTCCTTTCTCTTTATTAGGTTGTGCTTTGTATATCTGTTGATGTGTCTAAAGACTATGGACATGTGGAAAATGTCCTTAAACAAGTAAGAAAATAGTGTTTGTTTTCAGTATTTTTTTTCCTTATGTGTAACACTTTGAGCTGCTGCAATGTACAAAAAATATTTTCCCTGTTACCAGTATGCATACTAACTTTTGTATAGGCTCAAGAAAAGTTGGGTCCCGTTGACATGCTTATAAACTGTGCAGGAACAGCAATTACGGGGAAATTTGAAGATCTTGAAGTGAGCTGTTTTGAAGTGAGTATGCGTGATTTTTTTTTTCTTCTAACAGATAATTCAGTATAATTTCTTACGAATGCCTAACTGTTTAAATCTAGAAAACTGTCTGTTCTGTGGTCTTGGATGCTGAAAATATATGTACTCAAGTCACAATTTGAAACTTTGAATGTTGATCGTTTTTGTTTTTATGTATAGATACATAGAGGGACAGGGAGACAGGTGGACAGTAGACACTAATTTGTGGTGGTTTTTAAGTATCTTCCTCCCCCAAAAAATGAAAACACACTTTGTGTGTGTGCTTTTTTTAAAACAAGGACAATTCCAATGAACTCCGTTAGGAGTTTGATAATTGAAGATCATTAGCTCTAAACAAGAAACATCCAATGAATGGAAATAATTACAAGCACGTTCTTCACATGATATAATAAATTTAAGAGATTTGAGAAATTTAGGACAGATTTATGGTCAGTTTTTTCACGAGGCATAAAGGATCTGACAACAAAGGGTTCTAGGCTACCGCGCTGTGCCAACAATCAGCTGATCAGCACAGTGCGGTGGCCATTTTGATGTAAATGAAGTGGCGATTATTTAAATCGCTGCTTCATTTCCCTTTGCCGAGTACACTCATCTACATGGCTCCGTGAACGGAGCCATTTAGTCTAGACACACCCTAGGGGACTGGTAGTGCAGATTATACAATGTAGTAGACAAAGATCTATGTTTAGGTTTTATTCAGAATTAATACATAAGTGATAGCATTTTAAACACTGTACGCTTGAAGAGTCCTAAGCTGTGTCTTCACCCTGCGGGAGGTAGAGGAGCAGGTGGTACACGTGGGAAGCAGCTTTCAGACTGGCTCCCCGCACATATTGGCTCTCGTGGCACCACCTCCCCCCCCGCATGCAAACATGGAACCACTAGAATTTCAAAAGGTCCCATGTTTACATAAATAGTCAATAGTTAATATCACTAAGTGTTGATCCTTGTCCCATTGTGGATTGTGAAGTGTGGCTCTCTGGCATCTCTTGAGTTACCATTTTTGTGTGGAACATGGGCAATGGATTCACTTTAAGAAAACACAAGTTAAAATTTGAGCAACACCCTGATACTGCTCTAGCAGCTCTGGAGCTCGATGGCTAAGTGGGAGGATTTCATTCTTGATCCACATGGAGGTCTTCCCATGCAAAATTTGTAGGAGTCAGGATTTGGTCCTTTCTTTGAATATTAGCCCTCTAGCAGGTCAGAATATTGAATTATTCTACAGTTTAGTTGTTGCCTGATTGTAGTCTGGACACATGATCTGATCTTGTAAGAAATCTTGTGACTAGGGATGTTCAATTTAATTTTTTCAACAAATGGACTAGTCGATTAGTCGGCAAGTGGGGAAGCTGCAGCAAGGTTAGCTCTCAGCCCCTGGAGCTAACCCTGCTGCCGTTCTGCCTTTTAAAATATATTCAGAGCATGCAGGCTCTTATAACATTTTAAAAAGCTGAAGCACCGTGGAGGCGGAGGGACCCGATGCAAGGACATCTGATTCCCAGCTTGCGCCCGGTCCCCGCTACCCTCCCCTACCCTCGCATAGACAGTGCTGGGGAGAACCAGCTTTTCAATCAGCTCTCCCCAAGCACCGTCTCCTGTCCCCCTCCTGCCCCTCTTTGTGCCTCTAATAGAGGCAGCCAGGTGGGAAAGCGATTAGTCAAGTGACTAGTTGCTTACATCCCTACTTGTGACTCAAAAAGATTGGCTAAGTTTTGTTGTTGTTGTTGAAGTGTTAATTGAAGTAAAGTTAATTCTGTCTTTCTGGTCCCCATATATAATGCGTATTTTTTTTTCTGTACTCTAAAGTGAAACACTACAAAGATGTTTAAGCATAAGTTGTAAAATTATATTTAACATGATAATTCAGTATCTTCCACTGTCTTCTGTCAGTTAATTGCAATACCACTGTGCAGGAGGCACAATTCAGCATGTTTTTCTCTCCTTTTACTACCCTGCTAGTCATTGGATAATACCCAAAATCTAATGGTTTTTTTACCACAAACCACCTTCTTCCTACCTATCTTTGAAACAATTGAGCACTATCTAAAGTTTGTAGTAACTTTTATTCTTCATGATATATTTTCATATGCCTATATATCAGTGTTTCTTAAACTGTGTTCTGCAGCACTCCAGTGTCCCACAAAGCAGTCACCCCCCCCCCCCCCCCCTTTGGTGTTCCTCATTAAAAACAATTGTTTGGTGTTCCTTGGTCTTAAAAAGTTTAAGAAACACTGCTAGACATTATGTTCTTGACAGGTGAAAAATGCCTTCTCCATCTTCAGATTCCAGTAGTTGAAAGTTGCTAAGCATATTTTATTTACATGAAGCCCAGCATGTAGTCTGAAGACATTATTATATACACTAGATGGCATTGGGCTATATAGATACCTTTTTTTAAAGGTACATGTGTGTGTAGTCAAGTTTCTCCTCTCAAACATGTATAATACTCTAAACTTGGGATATAACTATCTTTCCTATACTAACTGACCCAACTAATTATAATCCTTTTATTATTGCTGTGTTATGACTGATATAAATAGTATTGATTGCTGAAAAATGTTGAGCAATACAAATTGTGCATCTCTACAATTCAAATATGATATTGATGTTTGCACAGAGGTTAATGGCAGTCAACTATCTGGGTAGTGTTTACCCCAGCTATGCAGTAATTGCTACCATGAAGGAACGAAGAATGGGAAGGATTGTGTTTGTATCATCTCAGGCTGGACAACTGGGATTATTTGGTTACACAGCTTATTCTCCAACAAAGTTTGCTCTTCGAGGATTTGCTGAAGCCCTGCAAATGGAGGTATGATTGATTATTTCTCAGCTACTTGTTGCATCTCTTGCATTCTTACGTACAGTTTGAGCTACCGTTGTACTAAAATGTTTCTGCACATTAAGCCCAATTAAGAAGATGGCAGCCTTTATCTATCTGTTAGAGTGCATTTGTCTGTCTGAGTCCATCTGTCTGCATCTGTTTGTTCAAGAACTCCTCCTAAACTGTAAGAGCTAAGACTACCAAATTTGGTATGCAGTTTCCTCTTATCCTAATTTAAACCAAGGTCAAGGTTTGGTTGTGCCTGAAAAATGAGAAGTGCCAGGAATGGGACTGTTTTCCATAACATGGAAAGGGAGGAGGCAAAGAGGGGGGGAAACACAAAAGGGAGGGGCACAGAGAGGAGGAATGCAATACAGAGTGTGTCCACGGAGGCAGCTGCAGCTCCAAGAAAGTGGCCAGTGGGGCCCCACTGTCTTGCCTGTCTCCAGACCAGGTAAATAGCCCCCCTGCTCCAAACCAGGAGCCCCACTCTAGCCCCCATGGAGAGCCTGCCAGCCACAGGGTGTATGTGGCCTCTGGAGCTGGGAGCAGCCCCCACAGCCTGGCCCCTCCCCAGACAGCCTGCAGGCTATGTTGGGAAGGAGGGTGCTGGAGGCTGACAACAGCCTCTGGCCCCTCCCAGCCTCCCCTCCCCAACAGCCTGCAGGCCACTTGGGGGGCACTGGAGAGGGAAGCAGTCTCTGGAGACTGGCTGCTCCCCAGACTGCTAGCAGACTGAGAGCGAGGGGTAACCCCCGGAGCCTATTCCTCTCCCTCGACAACCTGTAGGCTGCGGGGGGCCAATTGGGGGTTGCACTACCCACTCCCCTGGGAGGAGTCGCCGCCAGAGCAGCACCACCCTTATTGCCATGGGAGGCCTTGGTAGGCCCCCCCACCTCCCAGTTCTGTCCTGAGCCCCCTGCCTGGAGCCCTGCACCTCCCATTTGCCTTTATTTTCTCTTCCTGTGCCTTGAGCCCCCCCCCCCAAACCGCTCAGCCCTAAGCCACCCATCTCTTGACCCTCCTCACCCCTGAACTCTCACTCATTTTTGAAAAATCCAATAATTAAAATAAAATAAATTAAAATAAAATAAAAATTTACTACAAAAAAATTGTTCAGGTCTGAAGTAACTCTGGGTACATCTGCTAGTAGATTATATAAATGAAACTTGACTGGTTCTAATAGATTATATACACCCTGTTAAAAGTGCAGTTCCAATCTGAAAGGGATTAGGAAAAAACAAAGTCATGTTTGTCTATACATTTTATATGAAATATATTTAGTTTATAATTAAAGATTTTTCTAACTGTTAGGCCTGTTTTCACAGTCAAGCTTTGTGCATTCTTAATGACAAATAGTTGCATACTACATGAAGCCTTCAGCAACAGCTGTGTAACCCCCTTATTGTTTATAAAGTTGCACAAATATAACTGAATTAAGCTCAGTAAATAATTCTGATGCTTGAGAAGGCTTTAGAATCAGCTCTTTTAGTTACAATAGAAGGATAAAACAGTGAAAATCATTTTAAACTTAAGTAAGATGCCATAATTCTGAATAATACACACACACACGCCCCTCCCCCC